CATTTTTAAATTCGTCTAGAAATTGCTTTTCAGAGCTCCATACCTAGAGGAGCATCTTGAAGAACCTTGTGCAGTATTCGACAGTCACAGCTGCAGCACAAGTAGCAGGTCTGGATGTTGCAGGGAGCTCATTTGTGGGGAACATGAAGTCAACAAAAAATGAGCATCAGGGACTGAGGAGGGAAAAGTGGGGCTGGCTGTAAAGCTTAATGTTTTCTTACTTCCTCGTGGGAGGCATGTCTGTTGAGACCCACCTCATGTGAAACTTCTCAGTAGCAGTGATTCAAGTGGAATTTTCTCAGATCCTTAGATGGGGAGAGGGGCAGCTAGATAGAAGGATGGATGGGTTTGGCCTGTCTGATGTGAAGGAAAGAAATGAAATTTGGGAGAAAATGGGTTGTGTAGATGTCAAATTATTAGAGTGCTGACAGGCTACAGTTTGGGCTAGAGTAAAGTAGATTGCAGGCAAAGCAATCCCAAAAAAGTGAGCATGAAAGTGGGAAGCTAGGCACTCAGCTGCCTAATGCACATAAATACAGGACCTAGTACGGGTGCTGGATATATACGCATTTATTTTGGCATCAGAAATGGATTTGCCCTGCCCCAGGTACTGTTCAGTGGCTTTAACATGTTCTTTCTAGCCTGGTTTATTCATTAGTGAAGTCAGATTACAAATGTGTGGAGTGAGCGCTATGGCTGGCTGCTTGGAGAGCAGTAATTAGAGGGGTGGTGAATGCCAACTGGAGCCTTCTCCTTGTTTGCAACGTCTCATCATGACAAGAAAGTACTGTAAACAAAAATGTAGCCCCTCTAAGGCAGATATTCTTCTCACAGAGGATGTTCTTTCGGCAGGACTCAGTGAGGATTAGGTAGTTTTAGGAGCATGACTAACGTTTGCAGATAAACCAACAGGATCAGACATACAAAGCTAACCAGCTGTTATGCCTTAGGGCATGAATTGTGATGGGTGGATCTGAGACTGGTTCAGAACAGTCCCTCCCTCCCTTATAATTTGGGCTTCCATGAACAAGGAGATCCCTGGCTCTGGGTTAGTTGAATACAACTAAGTAGAGCAGGCTTGTCCAACATGCAGCCCACCAAGGCATTTTCTGAGGCCCGAGGTGCTGCGACGGGAAACAAAAGTAAACACTGTTCCCCCCCCTTGTCCCTCCCCCAGCCCCTCAGCAGCTTCCTAATGGCTGCTGAAGGGCTGGGGAAGGGACAGGGTTCCCACATGCACCGCATCAGCTTGACGTTGCCTACGTGGTGTGTGTGGGAAGCGGAGTAGCCGTGTGCCGCTCAGGACAGGACGAGCCCAGCCGGAGCAGCTGGGGCTCAGCTGCATTTTCCCCTGCCTGCACCGGTCAGTCCCTAGTGGCACACGGCTCCGCCACCACTTCTACTGGCTGGTGCTGACCTGGCCGGCCTCCTCCCTTCCCCAGCAGCACGTGGGAAACCAACACAGGTGGGCCTCGGCAGCAGGGTCCTGGCGTGACCTCTGTGGGGCGAGGCGGCGGGAACTGGTGTCTGCTGACCCCGCGCTCTGGGCTCGCAGTGCTGAGGCCACCAGGGCTGCGTGCGTGGGCAGCCGGGCACCACGGTGAGCGGGGCTGTGTGGGCGGGTGGGTGAGGGGCTGCGGTGCAGCGGCCACCTCATTCCAGCTCCCCTCAGGCAGCGCCGGCTCGTGGGGCTGTGCTGCTTGGGGGATGGAGATGCGGAGCTATTTATTTCTCC